CTCGCTAGTATTTCAAATAAAACTAATATGTGAGAGAGTTTTTTTACAAGCCTTAAATTTTGTGATTTAAAAATTAATATAAAATCATTATGAAAGTAATTTTATAACTAGAACTCAAATATATATACAAAAAGTAAGTAAGCAACAGTTTTTTTACTCCTCTCTTGTTTGATGCCTAAAATAACATTGTGGAAACCAATCCGAAGCACACTTGTGTGTTATGGATTGGGGTTTCCTTTGTTTTTTTTAGATTAAATATGAAATTATGGAATAGTTAAAGCAATTTTTACAATAGGATGCCCTATCTGACCATTTAACTGTTTTACAGATCAAGACTGACTTTTTTTGTAGAACTATGATTACAACCCAAAGTTTAAAAGCACAATCTTACCCATAATTAAATCCAAAGCACAATCTTACCCACAATTAAATTAGGAATTTCATAATAGAGTTAAAATAGAATTTTCCTTCTCCTTGGTAATTGTTTACACCACAACTAAAAAGTTTTAACTGTATCAATATAGGACCAAGACAATATATATACTTTAAAATAACCTGCTTAGCACAAACCTAACAATTATTTTAATGATAACAACAACCTATGTTTCTCATGCATGTTTTCAACAACTTTATCAATTATCAATAAAGGATATAAATTTAACAAACCTATAAATTATATCAAATCAAAATCTTTTTGTGTCACACACACATATATATATTATATATATTTACTTATTTATATATGTATATTGTAACACAAAAAGATTTTGGTTTTTTATACTGCTCTAGTCTGGTTTTTTAAATCACTCTAGTTTATAAATTTGTTTAATTTATATATTTTACAACTAAATTTATATATCTATGTGTGTGTGTGTGTGTGTGTGTGTGTGTGTGTGTGTGTGTGTGTGTGTGTGTGTGTGTGTATATATATATATATATATATATATATATATATATATATATATATATATATATATATATATATATATATAATTGAATATATAACGTAAATAAATACTTTATGTATACAACAAAACTAAAATAAACAGAACTTTTCCAAAAACTACCTTAGTTTCTTCAATAGTTGTCAAGTCATCAATATCAGTAATATCGGACATGTCATCAATACTACAAACACTTGATAGACTAATGAGTGAGGCATTTCGTTTACCCAGTATTGGTCTAGATTGGTTATCTATAGAATATAAACGCTCTGTGCGACCTTTATGTGTTCCATTAACAAGAGATTGATGAAATCCGCTACAAGATTTATTATCATTTGTATCTATATGTTGAAATGATGGTGAATTTTGAGGAGATGTGTTTGAAACAACAATTTCTGGATGTTGATTTACTGGACACTCTAAATAAGAATGGATATTTATTTTTTCTTCTTTTAAATGATTGTTTGAAGCATCTTTATTAATATCACAAAAGAGCATATGTACACTCATTTTTTCCTTATAATGTTCATGACAGTTCATTAGTTAATCTAAACAGATCTAAAAAGATATAATTAATGTACAAAACATTTCTACAGTTTTATAAAGCATTAGAAAAAAATCAAAACATAAAAAAAATTTTTTTAACACCAATTATAATAGCATGTATAGAAAACTAAAAAAATTTTAATCAAAGAATTTTATTTTTCTCAAACTCACAATAAAAAACATTTATTAAAAACATTTTTATTTCTAGGATTATTATAAATACAATATTGCAATAAAATTTCAGAAGAAGGGCGAAGATGACTAAAGAAGAGGGCAGAATAAAGAATAGGTGGTGATCAAGGATGGTGATGAAAAATAGAATATTATATTAAAATTTCAGAAGAGTAAAAGGTGGAGGTTGATAAAAGAAAGTAGCGGTGATAAATATAATACTAAAATCACAAAAAAGAATACATCTAAAAATAAAAGAAAAAATTAAAAAAAGAAAATATTTAGAGTTTATTTAAAAATCTTTTAAAATATATAGAGCATCTTATGAGATTTTAAAAATATAAAAAATATTATTTTGTCATTTTTCATAACTTCACTTTTGCATAAAAGTGTTTCCCAAAATGTTTTCAAGATTTTTTTTTCTAAAATAATTTGTAAACTTCAATTACCAAAAAATAACTTATATTCATTAAACAAAGCAAACTTTTAATTACAAAAAACATATGTAAGTTTTATTATGCATGAATTAGAAATATTACATTATCATATTAATTTATTCTTTCCAAAGATCTTCACCAGACAATGACATAATAAATTTTGTGTTTTCATTTCAAAATAAAAATGTCAAAAGAAAATCTAAAAACTTTTTACAAAATGTTACTACGACACTTTATAAAGAAAAGAAGACATTTTCTTTATTATAAAAATATTTTCATTATAAGAGTGTCTTCTTCCAAATCAAATGTGCCACAGGCTTTTATCGAGTTTCAGAGAGTAGAAACGATCACCTAACATGTTATGTTTAAAGCGTAACTGAAATTATAGTTTTTGTGATTGTAAATCACAAATTCTCCTCTTGTGTAATAGCCAAAATATTTATCACACTCTATACTTATACAAAGACTTTAGCCAATGCATCTGCTCCAGCAGAAGCAATATATGGCTGTGATGGATGGAATGCAACGTCAAAGACTGCTTCATCAAACTTTTTGCGATGTGCAGTAATTTCTTGAATACAGGTTTTATTTTCCATGCTCCATAACCTAATGGAACCATCATGACCTAAAAAAGAAAAATTGTATTAAAAAGGTTATCCGAAGAGAATAAGAAATATATAGAACAGAACACTTACTTCCAGAAAGAATATATAATCCACTAGGGTCTATTGATAAGCTGGTTACAGCATCTAAATGTGCTACCATGCTATGGACTTCTTTTCCTAAAAAAAAAAGAAAATAAAAACTCAAGATAAAAAATAACAATAATTTTATTTATTAAAAAACTATTTATAATTTTTAATTAAAAAAAAAAAGAAAAAGAGAAAACTCTTTGACAAATTTATTCATAAGAATTTTAATTGTGCAACATTTTAGAACTTGTTTAAAAACTATTAAAATTACTTTTACTTAAAAAACTATCAAAAACTACTTAAGAACTACTCAAAATAGTGTTCATTTCAAATAATAAAAATTTGTATAACTTGAACAACAAGTTGAGAGATACAATTGTTTAATTAAAATATTTCATAATTTTCTAATAAACCCCAATTTTATAAATTCATTATTATATTCAAGTAAATCCAAACGGTTTTGTAACATCACAAAAATTTTAGGATCAGCTTATACTGCTATGAGAGTAGTACTGCTAAAAAAGAGCCACTAAAATTATATTAATAAAAAAATGTGTATATGATGCTGTTAAATAAAATAAATAAATTAACACTGAAATCTGATTTTGTAAGCTTTATAAAAGTAAAGTGCAGATAGTTGTATATCAAACCTAAATACATTCCTATACTTAACAAGATTTTTCTGCATGATACTGTTTTTACCTAGGCTTGTGATTTGCATATAAGAAGGTTAAAAAGGAGAAGCTCCTCAATAGTGGCCTGGTAATCCATATAATGACTTTCATGGCATTGGGTTGATTAATTTATAAAAAAAATAAAACATATAAGCGCAGAACTGAATTCAAAAGGTTGGTGTATTCGAAAGGTTGATGTATAAAAAATTTGGCGTATTTGTATATAAAAATATGCAAAAAAATCTACAAAAATGTTGAATAAAGTTTATTGTTCAAAAAAATATATTTTTCTTCTTGTTTCATACCAAATCTTTAGGATGAATGCAGGGTGTAAATTTTATTTAAAATACATCATAAAAAAAAATTATATGTATATACATACATAATATTTTTTTAAATAACATTGAATACAGGTAGTGTATACTACAATCTGTAAGTAAATGTAAAATCTAAAAACATTCATTATTCTCTATTCAACACTTGTATAATTTAACTTCAATTCAATTCATTCAATTTTGTATTGATTGAACCATAGAACTTTAATGATCTAAAAAATATTCATTCTTTTTGATTCATTTATTTATTATTTACATAACTTCCTTTGTGTTTATATTTTTCTATAACTAGTCTGCAATACCTTTTTTTAACTGAACCACAGATTTTGTTACTTATAATTTTAAATTTGCAAAATTCATTTAAATAAAAAATAAACAATGAAAATGATAAGAAATACTCATGAAAATTTAATAAAAAACCATGTAATATCAAGTAATAACCTTTTTCCTTTTATCAGGTTTTTTTTTAATTTGAGTAAAAAAATTTTAATATTTACTAATGAATGATACTATCATTAATAAATGATCTTTTTTAATATTTAAAAGCGTGGTTGTGCTATAGCAGGTCTTCTTGAATGAAAACGTCTAAGTTCCTCAGAATATAACACAAACAAATATTTAAAAAAAAAATTAGATTTTTATTATTACATTAACATAATGAAACAATATTTACAATAGATATAATTAATATTTATAAGAAATATACTTAAGCAAAAACTTTTATGTTGTAAAAAAAAAAATTTTTTTTTGAACAAATCTTTTAACTATAGTATCACTAACAAACAACTTTTTAACTATATATGAAGTATAATAAAGCTTAAAATGCTCAAAACACTGTAAAATATAAAAAAATATTAACTTAGATCTAACAAATTATAACTATAAATTTTTTTTTAATAATTAGAAAAATAAAGGTTTTGCAGTAGCAGAACTTTTTAGTGAGTTGTATTACTTATTTTATAATTTTAACATGTACATTATCATGTACATATTGTAAACATTACATACATTATGAAATGTTTACAATCATCTTGTTATCATTACATACATTACAACATTGCTTTTTAGCACAATCAATTTTTCTTTGTTTATTGTTTTTAACATTCAAATAAATTTGTGTGGTTTCTTAATTCAAAAATTCTTGTTACATATTATTTAAAACAATTTAATTACCAACAAAGTTGCAAGCAACAACATTAATTAAGTTGGAAGTTAACTGAAAACAATGATGACAGTTCAACAAGAGCAAGAATTTGGTTGACTAAAAACATAGAAGATTGTAAATTGTATAAGCCGAAAAACATGATGGGAGAAAATTCCAAAGCTGTTTAAGTAAAATGATGAACAAAAGCTTTTGGAACATAAAGGAGCAGTTACAATATACAACTTAGAAGACAAGTCATGTGTCAAAGCTATGTGAAATTGAGTTTTGGTTGAACAAGTGATATTTTTTTTTACAGCAAATAGGAAAAACTAATACATACTCTGCTTAACTTGTATTTTGTGAAACATCTACATACAGATGAACAAACTGCTGATTGTCTTAAAAAATGCCTAAAATATTAGAACAATTGTTTAAAAGAAATATTGTTTGTAATTTTGGACAATCGAGCAAAGAAAGTCAAAGGTATAAAATTTTTAGGAATGAAAGCTCAAGTTGAACTTGATAGTGAATTAGAAAATAAGATTAGCAAAAAGCATAGGGCATATCCGGAAGAACATAAAAATATGGCAAGTGGTCAAGAGTGGGAACAAGTTGATTTGAGAGTCAAAAACTTGACATTTAGAAAATTGGGATGTCTTGTACATGGAATACAATTGGTTGTAAAATCTACATAGGATGGTAAACATCAAGGATTACTTTCAAAGATAGTTGGATTAGTGGGCAAAAATTGCAAACCTGCGGCATTGAAAAATATTGTTGAAAAAAGTGGTAAGACTGTGATCAGAGACAATTCAACAAGATGGAACAGCACTTACTTTAAGGTTAGAAAACTACTGGAGATTAAGACATTTATCGACAAAGTGTTTGGAGACTTAATTCTCTTGCCATAGCAAATAAATATTGCTTCAAGAGTTTATCTTCTAGAACTTTTTGTCAATAATCTCCTAAAAAAATAATTTATTCTTATTTCTGTTCAAAATAATTTATCTTTAACAAGTGCATCTGCTGTTTTTGCAGAGATTGCATCGTTTTTGCAGAGATTGCAAATTAACAAAATGAAAATTTTAATTTTTGGAAGTTGAGATGTGCCATTTATCCACATCTTGCACAACTAGCTGAAGATTTTATTGCAGCTGCAACACAAGCTTATTTTGAAAGACTTTTTTCAATCTGTGGTATGTTCACAAATAGACATTGAAATTGAATGTCAGTGTCATTAGAAATAAAAGCTTTTTTAAAACTAAATACTTATCTAGATCATAAGTATTTATTTGTAAGTTGTATAAGTAAGACTAAAGTATTTATTTGTAAGTTGTATAAGTAAGACAAAAGTCAATAAATTATCTGTTTAAGAGTCAGCCAGATTTTCAAATCGAATTTCAAATTGAAGAATGCTTTTAAGTTTATATTTGTGTACAGGGCTAGAAATATGGAGCATGTTACACTCCCATAAATAATGAAATCAGCAAATTGAGTCTTACCTCTGTCTTACTTCTTGAGACTTATTTCTTAGTCTTACTTCTTGAGTCTTACTTCCTTTAATTATATATGTTTATATTATATTATGTTAAATAGTAACTTTTTGACATTATGCAGAATCTCTTTTAAACTCAAAGACCATATTTTAAAATATATTAACTATTATGATTTTATTACAGATTCAGCAAAAATTCAGCAAAAATCAATTTAATATAAAGATCTAAATAGTGATTGCACAAAACCTTTAAATAAACAGTAAAATAATATATAAAATTAATTTCTTTTAAATTAATGAGTTTTTTAAGTTTTAATTAATATTTTGTGTATTCTATATCTGGCTGAGCATGGTTGACTCCTATTAAAAAAGTTATTGAGAAATCCTATTTAAAGAAGAGAAGCTATATATTTCAAGTCTGTATTAATATCAGTTAAAAAAAATTTATTAAAAAAAAAAATGAAAATTATAATTATATAATATAGTGCTGTTGGACAAAGTTTTTAATTGATAAATTATAAATATACAAAAATAATATAATTACCAGAAGATAAATCAAAGAATCTAACATGTCTATCTTCATGAGCCGTTATTAAAATTGGGTGTGTTGGATGACTAATCACTTTATTAATTTGAGACAAACCTAGATATTTATAATAACTTTTAAAAATATTTAAATAAACTTATTTAACTAGTAATTTGTGCAATAACTTAAAGTTATTGCACAAATTACTAGCAAGAGTTTTTACAATGTTTTTATATAAATTTTGCATAAAAAATTATTATTTATGTTGTCTTTAAAAGAAAAAAAAATACCATATGTTTTTTCAGGACTGAAAGTTACAATTGGTTTAGCTGTTTCTATATCATATACAACACAACTTTCAGAGGTATATGAAGCAGCAACCTGTCCAGTATCTGTACACACAAAACTAACTGATGTTGGTGTGCCTGACTCTAAAAAAAAGAGAAAACAATCATACCAGGTAAACTACTCTAGGTAGATAAAAAATTGAACTACTTACAAATAATAAGTTCATAACAGTAAATATATAATATAATTACAAAAAGAATAATGCAGAATTCAGGTAGGAAAAAAGTCTCCAAAGATTCAAGTACAAATAAATTGAAACTACTAAGTAAAATTATCACACACACAGATATATATATATATATATATATATATATATATATATATATATATATATATATATATATATATATATATATATATATATGTATATATATATACACACACACAGTTTTTTCTTACCAGGTGATTTGTAAGTTTCTAATAATGGAGATTTAATTGATGGATTCCATAACTTACAAGTTCCGTCGGCTGAACATGATAACAAAAAATCTGTATCTATGTGATATGCTAAATCCCATACAGAATCTGAATGACCAATTAAAGCATCTCCAAGAACATTTGGATCTAATAGAGATATTAATAAAAATAGTATTTAATGCAATATATAATAAATCCATCTAACTATATCTACACACACATTCACACATATACTAACATAAATATATTTACATACATAGATAAAGACATACATACAATAAAAAAATGTATAATACAAACATATTAACAATATGTATATAAACATACATAAAATAAAAATAAGCTGTTACAAAGTGTCTAGATATACAGTAAAACATTAATACACTTATTGAAGGAATTTAAATCCTACAAACAACACATCATTAACTCAGTATTATCAGTTTAAATTCATAAGAGATTAAGAGCGAGTAAAAAAGAAAAAAATTTGCTAATATCAAAAAGCATTAATGGTATTCATGACAGAAAAGCTTTAAAATCTTTGCTTTTGATTGTTTAAAATAACTCTACTAACAAAATAAAACAAAAGAAAAAAAAAAAAATTATTTGCAAAACTAAATGACAGTAATTAAAAAAATAATTGAGAAAAAAGTAACTATTCAATAAAATCAGTTAATATATATAGAACATTATTTATTTTTTATTTAATTGTATATCAAAACAAATAAGAAAAATGAAATTTTATTTTTAGTTTAGATTAAGAAAAGATTTTCATTAAAACATAATAATTCAATCAAAAAGTTTTTATATATTTCCATGGAAAGAAAAAAAATTTAAAAATTTATTTTAAGTGATTAAAAGCGAGTGATATCTAAACACTTATATATACCTAAAACTTAAAACAAAAAATATTTTCTATAAATTTATTTAAATAAAATATAAAATAATGAAAAAAAAATTTGTATGAATGAATTAAATAAAACAAACTTCATAAAAATAATGTTTCTACAAATGCAAATAATGTAGAATTAAGAATTCAAATACTTCTATTGTAAACATATTTTTAAGCCCTTCTATTCATTTTATTTTACATTCAACTGACAAATTTCTCTTGACAGGCTTATAAAAAAATTTTAAACACTCTATCAATTTAAATACTTAATACAATTAAAATTTTGTTTTGATATGAAAAGATTTAGGAAAAATGAAATTTTTTTATGTAAACAAAAAATATCTGTTTTGCCTAAAACTTCGCTGTTTCTTTTTAAAAAAACAAAGATATATATTTTAAGTATGAAGAGCTAACTAAAGATGTTACCCAAAAAACTTTGGATTTAAGTATAAATGTTTTGAAAAAAATTCAATTCAAGTATAAGTATATTTTTTTTTAATAGAAAAGAATTGGCTCAACTTACACAAACCTGTATATTCCTTTGTTAAAAAAAAGTTTCTAAATATGCATGTTGCAAATAAATATTGATATTGATAGATTTTTGGACTCATACAAGTTAAATTACCTCATCCTAAACTCTAAAAGATTTTAAAACTAAATTTGCTTCAATGTATATATTATCTAGATACCCAAAAAATGTATATATAATCTAGATACCTATAAAATGTATATATAATCTAGATTTTTATAAATTTGATTATAATTAAATATTTATTAAAATAGTATTTATACAGAAATATTTTTTTTTTTTATTAAAACAACAACAATGATAATAATAATAATAATAATAATAAAGATTATAAAATTATAAATTATAAATAATCAAATAGAAACAGTAATTAAAGATCTGGGTCCTAATGCTTCCAGGATCCATTTATGTTTGATAAAATCCATTTTTAAATAAATCAAAAAATATCAAATGCAGATCATAAAATAAACTGTGAAATTGAAACCAGACATCAGAAACAAAAACGTTTATAAATTTTGGCTTGAAAAAAAGCAAAACTTTGAACTTTTAATAGGAACAAATAAAAAACAAAGATGTTAAAATCATAAAAAGATATTACTGAGCCTAAAATCATAAAAAATAAAAGAACTAATAAACAAAAAATCTGGAAAAAAAAATCACAAACTTGCAATCTCTTTCAATTTTCTGTTGTGTTTGTCATTGTAATTATAAAAATAATGAGGAGAAGTAGTTTTTTATAATGTTGTTTTATACTGTTGGTTTGACCAGCTTATTTTATACTGTTGGTTTGACCAGCTTATTTGACAGCTAAAACCAAAAGTAATTAATAAAACAAATATTGATGACAAATTGCTTATGAACAAAAAGCAAAAACTCATACTGGTCACTTTATGTAGTAGCAAAAAACATTTTAATTTCATAATTCTACTTTACAGGACTGGATCATTTTTGTTTGCTAAACAAATGAATCTGGATTAGGAATCTGATCTGTTTTGCAAAACATTTTGATTAAAACCTTAAACCCAAGTCCATTTAATAAAACATCTAAAAAGCCTATGTGTATATATCTAAAAAGTATGTGTATATATTCTCTGAATAGAAATGGATATGATACAAATAATCATAGTAAAAATAGATAAAAAAATAAAAATAAATAATAATAGAAATAATCATGTTAAATTTTTTTTTTTTTTAAATAAATAAAATAGCTTACCATATGGTCCGAACAAATCAATATTTAAAGATGGCAAATTCCAGCATTGTATTTTAAAATCTAATCCACCACTATAGCAAACAGTGCCATTGCTATTTATTGCACAGCACAATACACCATCACTGGTTGTGATAAAAAATAATAACTACTAATAATTCAATTATTTGTAAAAATAAAAGTTAAAAATTAATTTTATTTCAAGTTATAAAATCAAATAAAAAAAGTATCAATAATTTATACAAAAAAAAAAAAAAAAAAAAAAAAAAAAAATCAAAGACCAGAAATGTTTAAAAAAAGTTTTAATTGATAGATTGCGTGCCTAAATATAAACCCTCATTGGATGCAGCGGTATTCCTTATGTGTTCTACCTACTGAGTCAGTCAATGTATATACACTACCTGATGTCCTACTTATTTCAATCAATGTACACTCTTTCTATGTTCTATCTATTTCAGTCGATAATAGAATAAATAGCCGCTAGGCTATGTCCTTAATAAATTAGTCGATAAACAAATATGAAAAAGAAAAAAAAAAGAAAACAAATAAAATTAAAGCAGCATTATAGGAGCAATGAAAAAAGTGAAAAAAAACAAACATTCTTAATGTTTTGATTTTTATTTAAAAAAAAAAAAAAATATTTAGTCTATTAAGTAGTGCTTTTATGGTTTTTTTTAAAAACAATAAAACATTAAATTAATTTCCTTAATTATTTCAATGGTTTTTACAGTTTACTTGATTTTGTCATCTTTGTCAACTTTGATTTTGTCATCAATGGAAAAAACACATAAACTTTTTTGTTTAAAACTGTGTTTACAAGCAAAACTAATAATAATAACAATAAAATTTCACTGACAGGAAGTAATCCACTGTTATTTAGGGTGGTAGCCCTCCTATCCAGTAATCCAAATGGTTAACTTGCAACTAGGCGATTTCAATACTTACAAATGCGAGCAAGAAGCAATAATCGTAGATTTAAAAAAGTTAATCGAAACTTTAAGAACGGATAATGCAAACTTGACTAAGAGAGTTCTGGATTTAAAAAATTCTAAATCAAAATCTAATCCAGCAATAATAGGTGATTGGGCTAGTAAAGTAAAAAAAACTCCAGATCAAATGCAAATTATTAGTACTATCGCAAATGAAACCAAAGAAAGAGATAAAAGAGTAAATAACTTGGTTATTTTCGGTTTAGAGGAATCACCATTAAGTGATAAAGTCAAAGCAATTGAAGAAGATAAACAAAATATTGAAGCAACCATGCAAAAGTTGAATGTCGATATCAAAATAAAAAATGTTATCAAATTAAAGTCAAAAAATAGATATAAAGCTCCATATATTGCTGTTTTAAATATTAAATTGGAATGTAATTCTGTTTTAAAAAATGCCAAGAAATTGAAGAAAGATAAAACATACGAAAGTGTATTTATAAATCCTGATTTACTGAATCTGAACGGTACAAATTAAAGTTATTAAGAGAAGAGTGTAAAAAACAAAATAATGTTAATATTGACACGGCAAACTTTTTCTTTGGTATTAGAAATGACAAAATTGTAAACTAAAAAAATGGGAATGTCAAACAAGGTCATCATTCATTAAAGTGTTGTTATCTAATGAATGATTATAAATCTTCTAACGAACATAAGAAATCCATTAGATTATATTCAAAAGGAAATAAACTATTTTCTCGCCATTTCAATAATGTAGATTGGAAAAATGGATTTAAAAGTAAATCTATAAATGAAATGTATGATTTATTTTTGTATCAGTAAAATTATGTAACTAACCTGTTTATCCCAAGAATTAATTATCAAAATAGAAGGAACAAAAACAAATGGATTACTCCTGAATTGAAACATAAAATAAGAAGCTTACTAATAAACTTGCTAATAAACGTAATAGCTGGAATGAGGAATCAACAAAAACTCAGTACAATAAGCTAAAAATTAGAATAAAGAATGATATTAAGAACAATATAAAACAATTAGAAAATACTATAGCTAGCAAGTTTAAATCAAATCCTAAATTGCTTTATAAATATATCAATGAGAAGAAATCAGTGAAAACTCAAATTCGAACTCTGGAAATTGATAATGGGGAAATCATAAATGATCAATTCGCTATAGCTATTAAACTAAATAAATATTTTCATTCTGTGTATGCATAACATGTTAATGATAATTGTACAAGTATTATTGAGTTTCATAATATGCCTTCAAGTTTATTATTAAACACAGTTTTAATAACACAAAATGATATTCAAACTAGACTTCAAGCACTTGATAAGTCGAAATCGGTCGGTTTTGATTTTATTTATCCATATGTTTTAAAAGAATGCAGCTCGTCAATATCATACCCATTATATTTAATTTTCAAAAAGTCAATGGAAACAGATACCCTACCAGATAAGTGGAAGAAGGCAAATGTAATGCCACTTTTTAAAAAAGGAAGCAAATTAAAAGCATCTAACTACAGACCTGTCTCGTTAACTTCAATACCAAGTAAAGTGTTAGAAAGAATAATAGCTGATTGAATCATGCAACATCTCATAAAAAATAATTTACTTTCAAAAAAACAACATGGTTTTATGAAAAACAAGAGCTGTACAACAAACCAATTAGAATACCTAGATATTTTAACAGATGCGTTCCATAATGGAACACAGGTAGATGCATTGTACACAGACTTTAAAAAAGCTTTTGATAGTGTTTCACATAAAAAGTTATTATCCAAGTTATTGACTTTTGGTATTTCTGGTAAACTTCTTACATAGATAGTCTGTTTCTTAGCTAATAGAAAACAGAGTGGTTTTAGGTGATAGTGTGACAGATTGGGTTGATGTACTTAGTGGTGTACCACAAGGGTCTGTTTTTGATCCTCTCCTTTTTCTGGTATTTATAAATGATTTACCAGAAAATTTTATTAATGTTGTTTATATGCTGATGATAATAAGATAATTGTGCCTATTTCTTCTCAAAATGATTCACAATTGTTTCAAAATGCTATAAATAAACTTGACAAATTGTCAACAAAATGGAAATTAGGAATAAATAATGCACTTTAGCTCAAATAATAAAGAATATTCATATTTTATGAACAATAACAATACATTAATAGAAATTGAAAAGTTAAAACTAGAAAAAGACATTGGTGTTTATATATCAAGTGATTTAAAATGGGCCAAACAAGTAAAATATGCAGCTAGTAAGGCATATAGTATGCTCTCACTACTAAATAACACATTTAAGTACAAAAATAAAGATCTAATAAAAAATACTGTATTGTACATATGTTAGACCAAATTTAGAGTTTTCGATTCAAGCGTGGAGTCCGTATTATACAAAAAATATTAATGAAATAGAAAAAGTCCAATGAAGAGCTACCAAAATGATACTGGAGCATCGTGACAGAGATATCATGAGTACGAAAAAAGATTGGAAATTTTGGGTTTGACTACTTTGGAGACTAGAAGACTAAGGTGCGACTTGATCCAGCAATTCAAAATAAAGGTATTGAAATCGTTGATATTAAACAAAATCAAACAATGAACTCTACTTGCTAATCAGGTCCTGCAGCTAACATTAGAGGAGCAAAACATCGAATGAAATTTGAATTGGTCAGAATTTGTTTAAAAAAGCAATATTTTTCAACAACAAGGTTGTTGATAGATAAAATAGTCTACCAGCCGAAGTTGTTCGATCTAATACAGTTAAAAGCTTCAAATTAAATTTGCAATTGGTCGACTTAAGAAGCAATAACAAACAAGATAAAAACCAAGAAAGCTTATTATTAACGTTTTTATTATTTAGTGACTGAACTAACTTGTTCATTAATTAATTTATACCGGCTGTCATAGATATTGCCTGGCACTTTATCTCAACAGCATTAATTATTATTATTATTATTATAATCTATAAACACAAAGAGTTGATAAAAATCATAAATTAAAAAAAAAACAAACAAAAAAACACAAACAGAAAAGATTATAATAACTACACAAAAGTTTGAGTAATAATTATGTTAGGTATAAGCACTATTTACAAATAGATTTTTTCGTAAAAAATTTTTTATTATTATTTATTAATTTTTTATTATTATTTTTTATTAAATTTTTTAACTATTTTTTATTAAATTTTTTATTGTTATTATTTTAAATAAAATTAATTATTTCAATTAATTAATAATTAGTTGTTTTAATTAATTAATAAGTAAAATAAATTTTAAATTAATAAAAATTATTTATTAGCTTTTTTTGTATCGCAACTTTTTTTTCAGTTTTCTTTTCATTTTTTTTTTTACTAAAAATTAAATTGCTTGTAATGTGTTTTAAGACTGTATCAAAAATGTGCACAAAATATATGTTAGACTTTTTTGAATTGCTTTATCAAGGCAACCAATCAAGGCAAGTGAAAGGGCAACATTATACATTTTTCAAGGGGCAAATTAACTCAAACTTGCAAAATCGCGAAACTTTTTGCAACAAATTTACTCAAACAAAAATATCAAATTTCATTAAGACTCATAACTAATCTGAATATTTTAATTATTACTTAAATTATCTCTATAAATTATCTCTATAAATCTCAAATCCGTCCCTGTATGGAATACTGTTGCCACATCTGGGGCGGATCTTCTAATGATGCTCTTTCTCTTTTAGACAAGGTGCAAAAACGAATTGTAATCATAGTTGGACCTGCTCTGGCAGCCAATCTCCAACATTTGTCACATCGTCGTAATGTTGCTTCTCTTTCTCTTTTCTACAAATACTATAATGGGCACTGCTCTAAAGAGCTAGCGTCCCTTGTGCCATCTACTAAAATTCATTCTCGTGTTACTCGCCATTCAATTAAGTCTCATCCTTTTTCTGTGACTGTTCCTAAGTGCTTCAAAAACTCTTATTCTTCTAGTTTTTTTCCTCGAACATCAGTTCTTTGGAATTCGCTTCCTTCATCTTGCTTTCCTGATTCATATAATTTGCAATCTTTTAAGTCATCAGTCAATCGTTATCTTGCTCTACAGATTTAGTCTTTTTTCTTCCAGTAACTTCCAACTCTTATAGTGGTTGCTTGCAGCCTTGTTGGAAGTGAAGATGTTAAAAAAAAAAAAAAAAAAAAAAATTATTATTTATTATTTATTATTAAAATTATTAACTTATTAATTAAATAGATGCTAATTCAGGTAATAAAAAAATAAAGAATAAAAATATTTATTGATATAGGTCAAAATTAAAAAAGTTGAAATGAGGTATATAAAAATACATTACTACATTAATCAAGTAGAAAAGCTTATAAAAATAAACAAATTTTAAAAATAAGCATTTCTTGTTAATAGTGGTGAGGAAAAAGCCACTTGTAAATAGACTTTGTTCGGCCTGATGGAAAAAAAGGTAATATTTGTCCAACCAAATTATTTTTATATTATAAAAATAAAAACACATTCTTTTAACAAATTTTCTGCAAATTTCTCAATCCTACAATAAACACATCTCAATCTTATTGTAGATGCAGTGGCTCTCTATACTTTTTCTACCTCGTCTATCCTAACGCAATGTCTCTGTATATGATTGGGTTATTTTGTATCAATATTGTCATAAAACATGGCGAAACTTTTTTTCATAAAAACTTTTAATCAGAAATATAAAAGTCAGTAATTGCGATTGCTTCAAATAACATACTTTAAAGATCATTAAATGACTTTGGTTGTGATTTGTGATCACATAATTTGCCCCTTGCTTTTTAATAAATGAAAATTAGTTTCCTAAATTAATCTTTGCTTGTCACAACAAAATTACTGGAAAGGTAGTTAATTAAAGTTTGTATTTTTGCAATAAGTAGTATTTTTGTTTGTTAAAAACTTTTTAAAAATAAAAAAAACATTATTTGCAAAGTTGCGATTACAACCTTAAAAAAATAATAAAAAGCTTAAGAAATGATAATAATTAAAATAAACTAAAATGTTTTAATTTGTTTATACAAATGTTGAAAAAAGAAATAAATAAGTTGATATAATATATTTTAAAAAATGCAATATTAAATTTAATTACTTGATATTAAAATAAAATTTGAAACAATCCAAAATAAACATTTCATAAAATATTTACATAACAACATTTTTAAATTCTAAATATATTTGCTAATGGTTCAATATAGCAGACTGCACTTTCATTAACCATAAATAAAGGTATAATACTGGCTAAAAATGTACTGGATGTTTAAAGTTTATGTTTTACATTACAGTTTAATATCAGGTATTTTTTGACGAAAATCTGATTTTAACTAAATCAGCAATTTGTTATAAAAAAAATAACTGTATATTTGTTAGAAAAAAAAAAGTGTCATGTAGACTTTAAACAATATTTAGATAAGATTCTGTTGTTGTTCGGATATTTGACTGGAAATTCCAATCCATTAAGTGCTAGAATCAAAATTGGTGTCACCAAAAAAATCTGGTAAACTTTATTTTGCAAAGTAATAATTCTTTAAAAACTCTATCATTTTAAAATGGAACAAATTCAAACTTGAAGCAGTCAATACAAAAAAAACAAATTAATTAAAATACATAATTAACATAATTAATTAAATTGCAAAACTATTAACGCTGCTTTTTGGCAAAATTATAGGATAATTAAAACCTAATAAAGCAAGTTATAACATCTTTGCAAAAATTCTTTATTTATTTTTATTATTGCACTACTGTGAACTTATAGTTTATTGTGGATAACATAATGAACTTTAACATAAATGCATTAAGATATTAGTATGTAAAATTTTATAAGTTACCTATGACCTCTGAAAGTATAAACAGGTTCCAAGTCTGATATATTGCCTCTAAATGTAAAAGTTAAATACTACAAAACTAACAACAAATAAGAAAATCAAATTAAAAAATTAGATTTAATAAAATTCAAGTATAGAATTCATGTACTAATTTTTATGTTTTGGTTTAATAAATGAAAACAATTTATGGTAAAAGATATTTATAAATGCTTTATATAGATGTGATTTTTTTAACAGTTAACCATCCTACCTCTTTCCTTGAACATTTTTTTGTAATGACCAAAGTTTCAAGGTATGATCTTCAGAGCCAGTAATTAATGCTGCTTCATATGGATGAAAACATAAAGAACGTACTCCATCAAAATGACTAAAACATTATTAAGTTTAAATATAAAAATAAACTTACTAAATATTAAATATATCATACAAAAATTGTTCATACAAAAGCAATTACTTTACAACTGGGAACGGTTGTCAAAAAACTGCTTTAACTCTTCTATAATGTCATGTTTAAATAATAAATGATAATATGAAAACCCTTCCCCAACTGCAGAACCATGTCTAACTAAACATACATGTTAAAAAAAGCTGCTTATTTATAAACATTTCTTTAGCTTTTTGAACTGTTGTTTTTGAGATAATTATTGTTTAACTGTCTTTATTGTCAATGTTACGTGCATCAGTTTTACTTATTAGGGTGAAGACAAGTATATGAATGTATATAACAGGGATAACTTGGTGGGTTTGAAGAGGGGGTTAAAAAATAGCTATTCTAAACATAAAAAAAAGCTTATTATTTTAAAACATTTCTTTAGTTTTTCTAACTGCTGTTTTTTGGATGACTATTGTTTAACTGTCTCTTTGTAGCTTCAGTTGAAAAACATTTCGTATGGTATCCAACTACTTGTTAAAGAAGCTGACTTTGAGTGTCATTTTTTGTTAAAACCTCATTAAAGTCACTGGCCAATTTAACTGCCCGTTCTACAGTCATTAACTACTTTCATGGCACAAACTCTCTTACACGCAGCCTTGTAGCCATAACAAATAGCACAAGCTTCTGGAGACAATGTCAAGAATTCTGTTGGTAGATTAAGAGAGTCAAACAAACTCATTGAGCGGTGTGTAACAAAATTAGCTAAAGAGAGTTTAGAAAAAGTAAAAATATTGTTTGGAGAAAGTCTTCTCTTGCCACCTGGTAATAGTTTTTTTTGTAATGCATTTACAATTTCCAATTTTTCTTTAACAGAAGTTTTAACACTAAATAATGGTAGAACTGCTAGATCTTCACTTAAATACCATAACTGAAGTTAAATTTTATTTTTTGCAACAGTTGTAATTTTGCTGTCAGTTTGACAATATTTCTCGATTAACTTTAAAAGATGAAGATTATTTTTGACGCTTCTGTTGTATGAGGAGCTGAATACCAGAAACACACATATATTGTGTTTATGAAGTGACATTATGAAGTAACGAAATATCAAAATATTAAACAGTATATACCTTTAGCCATCCATCTTGCACAAAGTTAAGCCTAGGAATTACATAGAGTTACATCAATAAATAAATAATATAATAACATAGGAAATAACATAGGGTTTTCAAGATGCAAGCCACTCTTTTTCAAGTTTTGTAAGACATCTACTTTTATCACTTTCAATCGGTTTCAACCTGTGATTTTTCTATTAACTTCAACTGAGATTTCAGCCTACCAAAAAGTTCAATGTTTGGTACTTTTGATTAAAAAAAATGCATCAAACGCTGCATTTTTCAATATATGATGTTGGCAGGCTAAGAACAGAACTCTTCGATTCATAGATTTCTTGATTAAAGATCTTCAAGTTGCTCCTCAACTCCAGGCCACTCATGAATGAACTCAACTATCTTCTGTCCCTCCAAAGCACCAGCACCAGCAGGTAACTCAGGTATACCTAATAATTTTTCGATGTCTAGGCCAGATACAGCAATTGGCAGACATTCACACGTCTGGTTTCATCAAAAAATGACAATATTTTGCCATTAAAATGAGCATTTAGTGGAACCAAGGGTTGAAAATCTTTTCTTACAGCTATTGCAAGAGATTCACAGGATGTAAATTGAGCCTCCATTAAAGAGGTACAAGAAAATGTTAATTTATTTACATCAATACCAACTGCAGCTAGAGCAGGTATGGCAATCATCATTGCTTGACGTGATGTTTTTTTGTTCGGTCTAATTCTGCATTAAAGAGTTGATTGTCTAGAATACAATGCTTGGATACCATATTTGATAGTTAACTAGTGTTAAAAGTATAATGTTACGAAAGTTTTACTGAAGTCAAGGCTTTTAGTGTTTGAATTGAAATTGAATTGAAAACAGTCAGAATTTTTATCCGAAGAGTAATCTAAAGCCATTAATAGTTATGTAGATAAAACTTTACTTTCTTTATGTTGTTCCTGGTGCCTTTTTTCTTTAAGCTTACGTTTTCTATATTAAACATCTGGTTACTTATATATTAGGCCTTCCGATGTCATTGACATCTTTCAGCAATCTCGTTGGTCAGGAATTTTTTATCTTCATTTATCTTGATGCAACTTTCCCATTTACCATGAGCATATGTTGAGGAGCAGATTTTCTATTTTTGTGCTCAGACACTTTAACAATGCTTCTGGTAAATACTTATTAATTTAGCTATTACATGAGGCTTTGGGATAGTAGGAATATTAGCCTTGAACCAGAAAATCAAAACTTCATCTGAAACTGTGTTGCAGGAAAATTGAAATTGTTGACTTTTTGACTATCATTTAATAAAAAACTCTTAATTGGCAACAGACTCGGACCGTTGAGAGAATATATCCAACAAGCCAAACATTCATAGTCGAGTGTGTTGCTTTACAAGCATATGATGTCTGAAGCAGCCATTTTCTTGAGTTATACTTTTATACTTTTTCACTATAGCAAAAATTAATTTTTTTTCTTAACATCTTAGCTTCCAACAAGGCTGCAAGCAACCACTATTAGAGTTGGAAGTTGCCCGAAGAGAAAAGATGAAGTTAATAGAGCAAGATAACGATTGACATAAGACTTAAAAGATTGCAAATTATATGAATCAGGAAAGCACAATAAAGGAAGCAAATTCCAAAGAACTGATGTTTGAGGAACTTTTGGAGCTCATAGGAACAGTCACAATAAAAGGATGAGACTTAAATAAACAACCCTCGGAATTGGGAAAAATGAGGTCGGCAATAATTGCCGACCTCATTCTTTTAGAGGTCGGAAACAGGTCGGTAAAAAAAATTGATACAAAGGTCTTACCATAAAACATAGAAACGAGGTTGGTAATATTTGCCGACCTCAAACACTTTTAGGTCGGCAGTTATGTTGGCATTGCCTAATTCCGAGGGTTGATTAAATGACAAGTAACACAAGAATAAATTCTAGTAAATGGATCAAGAGACGCTAGCTCTTTAGAGCAGTGCCTAATATAAGATTTGTAGAAAAAAGAAAGAGAAGCAACATTATGGCGATGTGATAATGGTTGGAGGTTGGTGGCAAGTATTCCATACATGGATTGATGATGGATTTGAGATATATAGAAATAAAGAATAGAATCCAGAGTAAGAAAGTGGCAAGCACAATAAAGAGATGCAACCTTAGTAGATGCTAATTTTCAATCAATTTAATAAATGGTTTCTATGAAAAATGCAAAGAAAGAGTTAATTCATGAAGATGAAGGGTAGATGACTCATCAGATACATTATCGTTCATAAATAAAGAAAGATCTAAATTATTGCAATAGCGATTAGCTGAAAATAACTAGGTTTTATCTGAATTAAAGATCACCAGCCACTGGGAACCCCATGCTGTAGGGGAGACCGGGGTTGGTTGCAACAGGGGTAAGATGCAACAATGCGTTTTAAAGAATAATTTTTACATATTATTTTTCAATTTTTTTACATTATATAACTATAATTATGACACGCAAGTTATAAAAAACTTATAGTAATAAACTTAAAAATTTAAAAGTTATTGATAATTGTTTTTTTTCTATATAAATTTCTAATTTTCGTTTCAATGTTTTTTTGGGTTTTACAAAAAACTAAGAAGTATATGACAATAATAAAATAATAGTAAGTTAAAAAAATCTTTTTCAAACACAAAAAGTAAAAAAAAATAGATTTTTTTAATATGGCTAATTGTATGCATTGATTAGAGTGATCATGATGCCTACGGGGTAAGTTGCATCAAATTGCTCGGGGTAAGTTGAATCACAAAAGAACTGCGGACTTTATTAATTTTACGCACTTTTCTAAATAATCGACTTTTTTTTAATAACAAGACAGCAAAGAAGTTTTTGAAAAAAAATTATAATTTTAAAGATAAGACTATGTAACGTACATATGTATGTTATATTTATAAAGCATATGTATATATGTCTAATAATATAAAAGATAAGTTTATATTCTATGTTTATATTTATATTCGAGGATTATATAATCCTCGAATATAAATATAAACATAGAATATAAACTTATCTTTTATATTCAAAGACATATATATATATATATATATATATATATATATATATATATATATATATATATATATATATATATATATATATATATATATACATACATATATATATATGTACATATATATATATATATATATATATATATTATATATATATACAGTGTGTATATATATATATATACAGTGTGTATATATATATACAGTGTGTATATATATATATATACAGTATATATATATAATATATATATATATATATATACAATGTATATATATATATATATATATATATATATATATATATATATATATATATATATATATATATATATATATACATTTATATATATACATTTATATACATACATACGTAAAAGTTATAATTACATTATTAAAATATTATTATTATTAAGTACATACTTAAAAAATTAATAGGTATATAAATAAATGTAGCAATTTAGACTAAATTATATAAAATGATTTTTGTAATGTGTTTTTTTATTGTTATGTTATTTAGAGGTTTAATAAAAATTGTAAATGCGAACTTACAAGAGAAAAACTGAAAAAGGACTTTATCCAAAAGAAGTAGTAATAGAGGCAGCAAGCCACGTTATTGATGGAAGAGTAACATCAGTTCGTGCATCAGCAAAAAAGTTTGGAATCCACTACTCGACTCTTTCTCGTTATATAAAAAAAGTTAAAAAAGCTGTTGATATGGGAATGCCACTACCTTATCCTGGATATAAAAAGAATCAAGTTTTTACTTATGAACAAGAAATAGCTATTGCTTCATATATATCAATATGTTCTGATATCTATTTTGGATTATCACCATATGAAACAAGAAAGCTTGCATTT